ATAATTCACCAAGTAGGAGTCCGCTAATTCCATGATGGATGAAGCATTGAGTTTATTTTCTGATCAATATATGTTGCTTGTTCCTTTGAAGGGGTGACTGGAAGGAATTGGAATTTAAAGAGTATAACTTCAGTGCTAAAGGTCAGCCAGTTGAAGGTGGCCATCTTCATCCATTGCTCAAGGCATGCTTTTGTCCCGTTTCTCATTATTGGTTATTCTTGTTACTTTAAATTGATTTATTCTGTTAACCAAAGCCAAATTGCCTTCCCTCATGTGTTAATGAAATCATACCATCTTGTTGCAGGTTAGGCGGCAGATACAAATGATTTTTCTTAATATGGGGTAGGACTCATTGACATTTTTCCCGTGTCTATATATGGAGGCTGTATATGCATGATTGTGTGTAGATGAATGTGTCCATGTATATATTCAGTTATATATATATATATATATATATATATATAAACTCTCCGTATTGGACTGTAACTGTTTTCATTGAATGCAGGTTTGAGGAGATGCCAACAAATAACTATGTCGAAAGCAGGTAAGCTATCATGTATTTTGTTAGCTTTTTCCTTGGTCATAAATACAAGTGAGCCAGCCATAATTGATGGAACAGTTGGAAATCCTAAAGGAAAAAGCTTTCAGGTTATATAAAATAACTTACCTAGGAAAATGGCACATCTCTTTGTTTTTTTCCTTTTGTCCAAGTAAATGGAGTCGACCAACACTTTCATCGCGAGGTTGATGTGTAAATATCTTGAATCAAATCCTACTTTATCCTCCATTAGAGATATAGGTTTTGGCTATTGTCATTTTACTTGCTAAAGTTCCGAGTACATAACACAGTCTCAAAGTACCTTATTTTCTGCTGTAAAGCAATTTGCTAAATACTATTTTTCATGTTGAACGTTCATGAGCTTCTGATGGTAAACAATCAAAATTATTGAACATAGATGGTAAACTATATCTATTGAACATTCATGAGCTTTCAAGCTCAAATTTCTTTTTTTAAAAAAAGAGCTTTCAAGCTCAAATGATGGTAAACCATAAAGTTCACTTGCCATCGTATACCATTTATGTGTAATTCTTCTCTGATGTATAGTTAGTGGTGATTTGTGCACTGTCATGTTCTTCCTTTAGTAAAAGTTGCGAGGATTGCTTTTGTCTTAATCCTTGTCAAAGAAGTATACGTCAATGTGGCTGGTCGTATTTGCAGTTTTTGGAACTTCGATGCACTCTTCCAGCCACAACAGCACCCTGCCCGTGATTCCCATGATACATTCTTTTTGAAAGGTTAGTTTGACTTTACATTTTATCCGCTTCATCTGAGCTTCATTTAATGAACTATTTGTTTGACTTTTGTAGTCCCTTCCACTTCAAAGATGCTGCCAGAAGAGTATGTTGAGCGGGTAAAACAAGTTCATGAATCTGGTGGTTACCAGTCTAGGGGGTATGGTATAATACTGCCAATACTTAATTCAATCTCACCCATGCTTGTCAAGGTTTCACATCCCTGTACAGAGTATATAATCGTGCTTCTTGCTTAGATATGGGTATGATTGGAAAAGAGAGGAAGCAAACAAGAATCTTTTGCGGACACACACTACTGCTGTTTCGTCAAGAATGTTGTGCGCATTAGCTCAGGTCGAAATCGCTCACCATATTCATTATCATAATTTCATGCATATATTACACAGTGAATTTTTTATTAAGTGTATGACATCTTATTGCAGAAGCCCTTTGCCCCCAAGAAATACTATTCTATTGATCGTGTTTTCAGAAATGAAGCAGTTGATCGGACACATCTTGCTGAATTTCACCAGATAGAAGGTTATCAAATTGTTATACAATTTTGTGTCTCATCCGTATTTTCCGGATTCTGTGTTATATTTTTTCCCCAATAATTCAAAGACTTCTGATACTATTTGTTTTGTATTGTAGATGAGTATGTAACATTTTTTTATTTTCAATTATCAAGTTCGCTTTTGTATTATTTTTAGGATTTCATGTTGGATGCTATCTGAGTTACTGAGTGACTGTACAGTGGAGAATACCTCTATAATTATGTCATAGGTGTCATACAAAAAGCAGAAGGCCATTGCATTTGGCATCCATCCTCACTCCTTTCCCTATTTCTTAACTGGAAGTCTGCCAACTTTCTTGGCATTCTATCAACCTGAAAGCATGTTGATCTCTTATAAGTTGAGTTTGATACAGGCATTAGAAGAAGCCTGAGTGTTTTTTAGTATACACTTCTGAAACATATTTCTATATCTGTGTAAATTCTGTATAGTAATAGGCCATGTCAAAGTATCTTTTCATGTTCAAACATAATACTGTGTGAAACTATGATGTGTTTGGTAATTGTTTATGTCTGTCTTGTTCTTTATCTGCATCCCATTCGTGTTAACAATTGCATGAACTTATTGTCATGGTTTCTCATTCCAGGCTTAATATGTGATCGTGGACTTACTCTTGGTGACCTGATTTGTGTTCTTCATGACTTCTTTGCTCGTCTAGGTGACCAACCAACACTATGCTGTATTCTTGCTTATGTTCAAATTTTGGTACAGAAATTCTGCATCAAGTCTTGGGTTTCATACAAAAGATAAAGCTTGCAGTGATATCATGTCCAACTCTTGTAATTTTTAGAGGGCTAATTAGTGGTTAACTTTTTTTTTTATTTTTTTATTTTTTCTAATTACAGGAATGTCCAAGCTTCGGTTCAAACCTGCGTATAATCCTTATACTGAGCCCAGCATGGAAATTTTCAGGTTGTAGTAGTATATTTGACACGAATGAACAAATTTTCAGCTCAGCACTAATTTCATATCCTTTTGTTTTGTCAGCTACCATGAAGGCTTAAAGAAATGGGTGGAAGTTGGGAATTCTGGTATGTTTAGGCCTGAAATGCTGCTTCCTATGGGGCTGCCAGAAGATGTTCGGGTTATTGCATGGGGCCTTTCCCTTGAGAGGTATACGAACTGTTAGTAGCATCATGTTCTTATTTATTTATAAATTAAAACTAACTGCGTGTACTTATGTTGCTGGTGATATTGATGGAGTTGAGAGTTTTTTTCATGTTTGAACTTATTAGTTATTAACAACTGATAACCACAGTAAAACCACACTTACTGCATTGTTTTCTTTATCCATACTATTTGATAGCATTGACTGTAGCAAGAAAGTGTTAAAAGTTTAATTTTGCACCTATAATTCATCTTATTTGTGCAAACATGTGATAATTCAAATCAAATAGAAATGTTCTAGTCTCGAAACGTTGGATCATATACGTGTTTAATAGCAAATAGGAGAGATTTGTGGCATATTGAAAGTAGCTCCCAAAGAGAAGAAGGTGTCAGTTTGGTTTTAATAGTACTCAAATTGTTTTCTGCTGCAAATATTCAAAGCCTCTATGACTAAGGCGCTCTCATGCAATGCTTGCAATAGTTTCTGAACTGATTATTGCTATTCTTGGCGCAATTTGTGCTAGTTGGCAGAGATTGTAAGTCGTTTGGCTTTGGTATAGTTGCTGCAGTTGTTTGCAGGTCTTAGTAATGTCTTAGAAAGAGAAGGGGCAGAGGGAGAATGGAGAGAGAGAAAAGGAACAACTACGGGTTGGTAGTTTGTAGTGGCCTGAGTAGCTGTTTGTGGCTGAGTAGTCATGTGGTAGGGTAGATGGTATCTTTGTTGGTTTAGATGAAAGTTTTCTGCTTGCCCGTGGGTTGATCCGTTGACAAGGATGTATCTATTATTTGAAAAACCTGATGGGTGGTGTAAAATCTTTTTCTATTTATGCTTAAATTGCACTGTTAATATTGCACATTCCATGTAACAAAATTATGTTCATGCTTCGCGGAAGCTTATTTTGCTCGTGTTCGTGCACCAGGCCCACCATGATTCTCTACGGGATTGACAATATCAGAGATCTTTTTGGTCCTAAGGTATAATTGGCACTTCATTTAATTGTGGTATGATTTCTCAGCTGCCAATGTTTGACCTTCCTGTTGTTCTTTTGCAGGTGGATATAGGTCTCATCAAAAGAAATCCAATATGCCGGCTTGGGATTTAGTAACAAATATTCTTGAATTGCGGATCCATTCTGTGACATATGTCAGATATTCTTGATGGTATTGAGATAAATTTTTCTGCAGGGGCAGCTAGTTGATATCTTTTCTTTACGTAGTGGGAAAATTCTCCCTGGTAATTATTGTAGTAGGTGTTTGATTTATCTACTACACATGAGATTGTTGATACAAATGTGAAGATTAATTTTCAAATTGATGGGAGCTGTATTTGGTTTGTTGCTATAACTGGATTTGGGCTCCTTTAATCGATTCCCTTCACAGTACTTTTGAACATCTTATTATGTATACTCTTGAAAATTTAATGTTAGCAAGGGTGATTGTAAAGTCTGCCTATACGCTATACTCCCCGGTCCCCACTTGTGGGAATATATTGAGTATGTTGTTGGTGATTGTAGTTTTGGATAGTGTTAGGAGTCCCAAAACGGTTAAACTATGTGAAAAATATTCGTACATTTTGAACTATAAAGCACTTTGGTTAAAAAAAGACTACCGCAGGAACTAGGCGTTTAAGTCATTCACTAAACTTTGTCGTAGAAGTTTGAAACAATCTATAACTAGACACTATTTGGAGTTATTTATCAGCTATAACTCAATTAAACTAGAACAAGAGTGGCGCTGACTGGTGTGTTACTCTTGCATCTTACAAGGTAGCGTTGGAGTTTTATATTTATTTGAAATAATTTATTACCTTAAAAAAGAAATGTATATTCGGATAACCTTTTTTTAATAAGTAAAATGTTTGTGATTGCGACACACTAAAACCGTACGTCCGTACCGAATCACAGCTAAACCAATTGAAGGGAATGATATTTTATTATTATTATTATTATTATTCTCCCAACCAGGTACGTTTTTTTTTTTCATTTATGTTTTTCTCGATCTAATCAAATATCTTTACGATAATATACCCTAATTTGATGGGTGTTTCTAGCATGATGTTTATATTTAGTAATATGAAACATCTATATATTCTAATATGGTCATAAAGATCTCAAGTGTTTGATATATTCTTCTTGTCGCAAAAACCAAAAATGAATAGGTGCGGCTCTCAGCAAACCACCTTGGTTGGTTCTGTTGGCGTTGTTTGCCCTAAGCCTCACCGGCTTGGGTTCTTCAATTCTTCCTATGTTCCCGCCGACGAACCCATCGGAGGAACTGAACTTCTGGATATAATCCTTACCAAGGTAACTTCTAGATGATTCCATTTTCTCAATTCAAGTGTAAAATTTAAAAAAAAATGTTTCTTTTGTTACTGATATAGTAGATTTATATATGCAAATGAGCTAGTTTTTTTATGTGAACTTTTTATATTCAGTTACTCCTGCTGGCAAATTTTGATTTTTCTTGTATAAACAGGGGAGCTATGATGTGGAGACAACCAATTTTGAGCTAGCTTCATCTTCGCCGTTCTTTTTCGGGTCTCCGCCCACCAGGCCTTCGAATCCCCTGATTCAGGATGCTCAATTCAGCAACAATAACAATAGCTTTGTTCCTATACTAGCAATTCCAGAAGGAGCAGCTGCACCTTCACCACCACCCTCCGCCGCCGCTCGTAGGAACAAGCAAGCTGCTGTGAGGATTGAAGGCTTCAATTGCTGCAGCAGCATCTCTGCTGTAGCTTAGGTAAATTCTGTCGCAGAGATGATGAGAAAACAACCACAACAAAGTAAAAGACGTAAAAATTTGAGATTTTTGGGTAAATTTTGGCCTTGTACATATAGAGTGAAAGAAAATGAGTTATATTTTCCAGTCATTCGAATCCTGTTTGTGAATATGTTTATTAGGTGATGAATGAGTGTTCATTTGATATCGGAAAAATAAGTAGTAAACTGAGTAACCCAAAGAGGAGAGATAGGCCAATTGATTGTCCTCTTTCCATTGGGATTAATTAGGGTTCTTTTTTAGAATTAGGCCAAGTTATGAGTTGAGTATGTAATGTAGTGTGAGAGTCTCAAAAGAGAGACTTATTCTTTGCTACTGAAAAAGTTTGTCACTCTATCCCAGTCATTTGTAATTGTAATCCGAAGGTCGAAGTAGAGCAGAAGATAGTCTTATTAGACAAATTTTATTCATATTGTGTTTATTCTACGGCTGGTGATAATTTCTTTTTCAGTAGTGCTACTGATTTCTTTATACTTCTGCTGTATGGTTGCTAGGAAGCACGTGCAATGGGCTTCTTTTGTCCAGCTTTGATATCAACAATGTAATTGTAGTACTGTTTTACATATAGCTTTATGAAAAGTCCATTTAATGGCGTTCTTATTGCCACTACTATGTGATTCTGCTGAGGATTCTGAACTTATCTAATAGCTAACAATGACTTGAGCCATGGCATTCCTAGGTTAGTGTTCTTTATTTAGCTCAGATAGCATTTATTTCGTATATATTTGATGTCTTTTGAATAAAAATGCTGTTGCTTTGAGGAATTAGTGTAAATTGAACCCATTTTCATGCAAATAAGATTAGAAAACAAAATTATGTAGTCTTTGAATAGGAATGGAAATGGATATCTCTTTATGTTCATTTTCAGCAGTTATGTAATCCGTAACGCCTCTTTCATTGAGTAAGATAAATCAAAATATAACACTTAATACTGGGAACTTTTGATAATGGATCCTCCCAAAAAAATAAAACTCAAGCAGGTGCAAAGAGACCAACGGAGGGCTTGACTAAAGCTACGGAATTTCAAATTCTTTCCATGAGAAGTAAGCGAATAACCAGGAAGCTTTATAGGTTTCTTCTTCGTTCCTTCCCTGATTGCATCATTAGATAAATTAGTTAATAGTTGTGGAGGAGAGATACCCGTTTAAATTAAATGCAGGATGTGTTTAAACAACTAAATCTTGCTGAATAGGCAACCTTTTAAATATGACGATTTTACATCTTGTGACTTAAAACTTCTCAAGGATTTTATATTTCATTATTCCCCTCTACTTTTTTGCCCCCTCTTTCGAGTTTTTTATTCTAGCTAATAGGTTTTTTTGGGTTAAAATTGTCCAAATATTGTTTGCTAGATTAAGTATTGTGTACTTGGTGTTCTCTGTAAGGTTTTACACTATGCAGCTTAAAGATCGGTTATTCAGATTTCCCAAGATAAAGCATCATGCCAACATGACCCAATATCTTTGTTCTATTAGAGGCATTGTTTGGTATATTGGAGTTTCTAAGCCATCTAATGTGGATCCGGCTGATATCAAGGGAGCCGTGGGTGCTGAAATTGCGCAGTCACATTGTGGGCACTTTCATGTGCTACCTGCTGTTGATGAACTTGCAGGCTTTCAGACTTTCAGGTCCAAAGTTTATAAAGCTGAATTATTATGGCATGCTGAGATCATTGTGAGGCTTGAACTCTCTGTTAGCTCTGGTATAACGTAAAATGTTATCCAATCACCTTTGTTAAAACTTTAAACATTTAGTGAGGAGACACTTTTATTTATTTATTTATTTATTTATTTTGTGGCTGCAGCAATATGTTTAGATATCTTATGCTGTGTTTTAACAGTCATAAAGAGCCAATTAACACTAAATAAGCTGTGCAATCTGCAAACGGACACCATCAAGTTGAGGATTGATAACATTGCCAAGGTGGTGCTGGCCTATAAAACCTTATTTGGTGAATAGCTGTTTCTTTAAGTCATAAGCAATGAATGAATCAATTCTTTTATGGATGTTTTGATCTGTTGTACATCATGTGCAGATTGGTGATCACACAACATATGACTTCATTGAGAAGAAAGAGGTTGTTTTTGTACTGGATGATTAGAAGAATCGCACCAAGCAAAGCACTTCTCTTTTTCTCTTTATAACCAAGAAATCTCCGAGGGCCAGTGGCACACGGTTCGAAACTCGGTGGATAATGGGTCCGCCCCTCTACCCTTCTCTACTTAATACAAGGCTTTTGTCTGTAGTAGAGTTCGAACTACTCCAAGCAAAGCATCAAGTTCCCAATGAAAGATCAGCTGGGGGATAGTCATGCTGTTTAGAGCACTACCATATGTAATTACATGTACCATAAGTAAGGTCTGTCTAGACTAGCACTGCCGTTTAGTTTTTGCTTGTGCTGTTAGCAACTGTTAATAGCAGCATCGTTTACCTCTCACTTGGCTACAACACTGTACACATGTTATTACATTGTGTTTTTAAATTGAGCTCAAGTCAAACTCTTACCGAGTTTTCCTACCCAAATGGCCGTATGTAAATGTGATTTTTTACTTTTATAGATTCTTTTCTCAAACTCAAAGTCGAACAAAACCGATTCTATTTACCAATAAGTTGAACTGAAAAAAGCAAAATTTTCACTCTGTCATGTTTTTCAGCTTAAACCAAATATGCTCATCCCTTTGTATAGGGTTCTGTTTGAGTTTAATATACACTAGTATTAGCACCCGCGCATATACGCTGACACTAACCATATCAAATATTTGAGTTATTTGGATTATATGTAAATAATCTTAAATTTTAAATTTTCTCGATAAATATAGATAATCATCGGGTATTAATTAAGCAACACTACATGAAAAAGATTAAATATTTCTCAAATCTCCTAGTTATAATTCTATTTTTCTTTTTTGGTATAATTCTCGTCGGTATCATTGGATCCTAAAAATAGTCATGAAGCAAACTAATAATTCATATTTATGGCAAAACAATCAAAGGTTGAGACTATGAAGGACTCTTTGGATATGACTCGACTCTTTTACTACTATTTGAACTCTTATTTGGTATGTTGTTATCTTTCAAAAATATTTCTATTTTGAAATTCCAATTTCTAGAACTTTATATATATTTCAATAATGATTATATTTATAATGATGCAAGTAAATATATTATCCTTAATTTAAAATTTACTTTAATCGGCTATCTAAAAATGTAAATGATTCTTAGCCGGTGAAACTTTATTTCAGTATGACTCCATTTTGAGTTTATCGATATCTCTAGCCACAGATCTTGAATTTTGAATTTTGAATACCCTATGTATACATATTTTTTGTTCTTTGAATCATTAAATATTAAGTTAGTTGATTGTTATTATATAACATTGCATATATTGTCTTAAAATTATCAAATAGTTTTTTCTCGACACAATACTTGGTTTAACCTCAATGCAAACTACTCAAATTGCATTTACATTCAAATTTGAATATCATATCAATTTGTTAGTAATAGTGATTTTTTAAAAACGACACACAATGTAAATTAAAAAAAAAATCAAAGATATCCTTGTCTTATAATCTATGTATTTGAGTTGAAAAAAATATTTGAAATCAATACGATCAGCTTCCAAATTGTTTGTACTCAACAAAGATGAAACAAAAGAAGAAATTCGTTGTCATCTCTTATTTCTGGTTTTTAGATTTTCATACATATTTTTTATATATTTATTTTCTTTTCTCTTATTTTTTTTATGTCTTTCTTTCTTTTATTACAAAAAGTTTATTTATTTTGCTATAAAAGGATGATTTTTATTGAAATTGTCTACATAAGAATTTTATTTATGGTTTTAGTCTTTGGTTAAAATTCTTTCATGTTTTTCGTTTGGCTTTATCTAATCAACCTAAATAGGTGCTCACACAACCACTTAAATTAAAAAAATTAAAGGATGTGTAATTTTATATATAATTCATATATAATATGTGTATAATCGTGTGTTATCGGTATATCATCTATGTATATTAGCTATAAAAAGTAAACAATAAATCTTGCCGGATATTTATGTAAATACTCCATAAGATTTCGATTTCTTGATTTTATCCTTTATATGACTTTTATTATAATAATTTTAAAAACTCTCTACTAAAATTCAAAAATATCTTATCTTTTTATTTTTAAAATTACATTATATTTTAAAAAATAATCCAATTTCAAAATAATTTGTTTACACTTATAAAACAAATTCACGTCATACTAATTTTTTTTAAAATATACTTTTTGTTACACTTGAAAATCGCTATAGAAACTATCAATTAGAAACCAATATCTCTCTTGCTGAATTCAAGGAAAAAAATNGAATTTATAGATAAAATTTTTAAATTTGAATTAAAACAAAAAAGAAATTTATCTTTTGTTATCATGTTATCATACTTAATTTGGGTAATGATCACATGCAATCATGTTAGGAATTTTTGTTATCTTTTCTAATTATTTAAATATTACTTCACCTCTGGCAAAAAAGAAAAAAAAAAACTAGTTCATATAGCTATAGAATCCTTTCACATTTAAAACACTATAATTATATTTCTTTAAAACACTATAGTTAGATTTGAATAAAGCGAATTTCTTTTAAACTAAATGTAATATATAGCGTACACGTCTATGTTCATCCAGATAACAAAAAAGAGTTTAAAAATCGAATAAATATATATATATATATATATATATATATATATTTATTCGATTTTTAAACTCTTTTTTGTTATCTGGATGAACATAGACGTGTACGCTATATATTACATTTAGTTTAAAAGAAATTCGCTTTATTCAAATCTAACTATAGTGTTTTAAAGAAATATAATTATAGTGTTTTAAATGTGAAAGGATTCTATAGCTATATGAACTAGTTTTTTTTTTTCTTTTTTGCCAGAGGTGAAGTAATATTTAAATAATTAGAAAAGATAACAAAAATTCCTAACATGATTGCATGTGATCATTACCCAAATTAAGTATGATAACATGATAACAAAAGATAAATTTCTTTTTTGTTTTAATTCAAATTTAAAAATTTTATCTATAAATTCAAAATTATCTTTTAATTCAAATTCAGTTTTTAAACACACACACACACACACACACACACACACACACACACACACACACACACACACACACACACACACACTTGTATTCCTATTTGATTAACGTAATCAAATATAGAATAAAGTTACCATATACTATTGGCATATATTAGCTTGCCACTTGGCTTAACCATAATGCCAAATATAAATAGTAACTTTATCCCTTTAATATAGATATATAGATTATATATGTAAGTAAACTTTTATTCGATTTTTAAACTATTTTTTGTTATCCGGACGTGTATCATGTATATTACATTTATTTTAAAAGAAATTCTCTTTATTCAAATCTAGTTATAGTATTTTAAAGAACTATAATTATAGGGTTTTAAATGTGAAAGGATTCTATAGTTATATGGAGTAGCTTTTTTTTTTTTTTTTTGTCGAGGCGAAGTAGTATTTAAATAATTAGAAAAGATAACAAAAGTTTCTAACATGATTGCATATCATCATACCCGAATTAAGTATGATAACATGATAATAAAAGATAATTTTTTTTAATTTTAATTCAAATTTAAAAACTTTATCTATAAATTCAAAATTATCCTTTAATTCAAATTCAATTTTTACACACACACACACACTTGTATTTCTATTTGATTAACGTAGTCAAATATAGAATACAATTACCATATACTATTGGTATTTATTAGCTTGCCACTTAACTTAACCACAATGCCAAAATATATATGGTAATTTTATTCTTTTAATATATATATATAGATTATAGATTATTATTTTATTCTATTTGTGTCTCAATTTTTCATTTTCACGTCAGAATGTCTTAAGAGCCCGTTTGGACAGAAATGTTTTTCTTTTTTTGAAAAAAAATTCACTTTTTCCGAAATCAACGTTTATTTATAAAATTTTCAATTTTCACTTGAAGATGCATTTTGAAAATTTTTGAAAATTTGAAAAACTCCAAAAAACTGTTTTTCAAAATTTTCACTCAAATCACTCACAAAACTTAAAAAACAACACAAAATAATATTCATGTACAAATATAACTCTAAATTTCAAATACCATTTTCACTTGAAAAGTTTTTTTTTCCCTATTTCGAAATTTTACAATTCTTATGTCCAAACGCCCACTTAAAGTAAGTGGAATGACTGTAGTACACAATTATGTGAGGATAGGCTAGGAAATTACCTTCTTTAATTGATCGAACAAATTTAGGTATGTGCGTACAACCGCATTTCTGCCTATCACAGAAAATACAATTGAATGTATCAAGTCGGGATACATTTTATAAATGGTCATATAACTAATTTTTTTCATCAAAATCATATAACTTTATTTTTTCACACAAAAATCATAAAAACTTTTAATAACTCACAAAAAAACCACAGTGACTGAAAAATACAAATTTTAAGTATTATTTTCTTATTCCATGATTTGTTTTGTTTTTTATTTAGGTCTAATAAATAATAATCCAATTAAAATAGGAATGTCCCAACCCTACCCACTAATACTAAAAGTGATTCCTTCAAAACACGTCACTTCCATCTTCTATTTTTCTTTTCAAGATTTTCATTCAATTTTATAGCATTTTTGTTTCAAGTGATCTCTAATTATATCTTTTATTTTTTTCTTTTTTTGTCAGAATCTCATGCATTCTAAACTAATAAGTTTTTTCTGGGGGAAAAATTCATTTTTAGAATTATTTTAATATATGTATATGAGTATTGGGTCGGGTTTGGTTGGGTCATTCTTATTTTAAAGGAAAAAAAATACAAAAATGACCGGTCGGTCGAAACTAATTGCATTCGCTAAACAAAAAATATATATAATACGTATATTATATAATACACATATATAAATAAAACTCTACATAGTTTATCGGTTATTATTTTTTGGAGCGACTAAAAAAATATATATTTCTCTTATTTAAATTTGTTTATTATTTATTAAACTGAAAATAAAAAAACAAAAAAATGTGAAATAAGAAAATACTATCGGAAAATTATATTTTTGGTCATTATAATTTTCATGTGAGTTAGTGAAAGTTTTATGATTTTTATGCTAAAAAATAAAGTTATATAACTTTGATAAAAAAAATTATAGTTATATGAATCTATGAATCAAGTGCATAAACAAAGGTACATGATCTCACCCTCTTTAATTATAAATGAAATCATGGAGCTATTTCATGTAGTTTAAAGATAACAAAGAAAAGTCTAATGACTTGGGATTTAAGAATGTGGACGGTTTAATCCAAGGAGATAAAGTAGTAGTAGTAGTATAACTTGTGGAAAATGAAATTTACTCATTTAGTAAATGGATATCTATACACTAAGCATCTGATCATTATTTAATTCTTTTAGGTTGTCAATCTGTTGTTGATAAATAATATACAAGGCACAGTCAAACCAGAGCAAACTAGAGAA